ACAATTCAAAGCCGACAATCCCCTAAACCCTGATTCCTAAACCCTAGACCCTGAACCCTGATTCCTAAACCCTACTTAAACCCTAAAGCCCGATGCCCAAAAAACCCAAAACACTAAAACCCTAAAGCCCTAAAACCCTAAAACCTCAAAAACCCTAAAACCCCAAAACCCCCAAAACCCTGAAACCCTAAAGCCCTAAAACCCTAAAACCCCAAAAACCCTAAAACCCTAAACCTCAAAACCCCAAAAACCCCAAAACCCTAAAGCCCTAAAACCCCAAACCCCCTAAAACCCCAAACCCCCAAAACCCCAAAAACCCCAAAACCCTAAAGCCCTTAAGCCCTAAACCCTAAAGCCCTAAACATGAGGCAGGTGTGTAACCACAATAAGAAAACGAAGTGGGCACCACGACAAAGAATCCAGGAACCACAATAAGCCCTAAACACAGACCAGAGGCTCACTGCCATACCATCTGGGCACTCTGCCACCTTCACGGCAGGAGCGTGCGGTAGCTAGGGGTAGCTAGGGGTAGCTAGGGGTAGCTAGGGGTAGCTAGGGTAGCTAGGGTAGTTAGGGTAGCTAGGGTTAGTTAGGAGTAGGAGTGTAGGGTAGTTAGGGGTAGCTAGGGGTAGTTAGGGGTAGTTGGGGATAGTTTCGGTGGAACATAGAGGCCCTGCAGCAGCCAGATACCTCAGAGCGACTTGTCGATGGACCCTGAGAAAGCTGCACCGGGGCTTCGGGTTTCGGTGCTTGTAGTTTAGTGAGCTTCAACCCCGAAACCCTACAAACCCTGAACCCTAAACCCTAAAAACTCCTAAACCCTTAGCGCTTACAAGGCTAAGGGTTCCTTCACAGCCTGAACCTTAGCCTGAGCCTTCGCCCCGCGAAAACCTGAGCACTCAATCAACTTATCCTGACTTCGAAGCCCCTGGAGCTCCGAACCACGATGCCAGAAACATGTTCAAGAAGACCTATTCAGGGCATAGGGTTTGGGGATATAACGCTGGACACATAGCCCTATACCCTGCAAACTGTCGCGTGGCAACGGCAAGTGGCACCTGGTCCTCCGCTTGAGTACCGCTGTTCCAGAACCATCGCTTTCCGGTGTTGTCCTTAGTTGGGTCTCGTGCTGAAGGGCCAAAACCCTTTAAGCCCGAAAACCCTACGTCTGGCTTCAGAACCTTCCGGGGTTGAGGATTGGCGCCGCTTGGTGCATTTCTAGAGGGGCCCTGCCGTGAAGCCAGTCTCTATGGCTTCCCATGGCTTGTTTGGGTAAAGTCTCAGAATCACACCACACCCTGCACCACTCGAGTTTCGTCCAAGCCCCCAAAAACCCTTACCCACCCGAACACCCTTTTGCAGGTTCTGAGCCAACATCTAGGGGATAGCATTAGGGGGACACGTGGCAGACCCTTTCAATAAGGTCCCAAGAGAACCAGAAGAGGGTTAAAAAGGGCTCCCTTTTAAGGGTCCCCCGAATCCTACCTACGTGGAGGTTCATGGTAACTGTACTTTAACCCCACCTATAAGCCCCTTAAGCGCCCTAATATGGCTATAAGTGCAGTTTTAAGTACAGTTAGAAGTGGTTAAACCCTAAACCCTAAACCCTAAACAAGTAACATGAACCTCCAAGTAGGAACATCACTGGCTGCGCAGCGTCGGAGATCCACCCCGACTTCTCGGCACTTGCCGAGTCGGTTTGGGCACTCATCTGGATCAAATTCACCTCACACATCGCAGGCTGGCTTCTGGGGTGTAGGGTTTAGGGTTTAGGGTGCGGTGTAGGGTTTAGCGCCTAGGGCCTTGCCTTGAAGAATACACAGGGCACTTCCTGGTGTACGTGTCATAATAAGCCCTTCCATCAACAGCGTAGGAATTCTATCAGCCTCTTGGCCTCTTGTAACGACTCTTAAACCCTAAACCCTGAACCCTAAACCCTAAAGCCACAGAAAGCCCTGGATGCACAGGCAAGGTGCTCGTGACTCAGGAGAGAAGATTTGGAACATTGGCTATACCAAAAACCGCGGACGCCAGGCCTTGAACTTACTTGTCACTGTCCTACGAGATCTTAAGGTCCTCTGGGATAGTATGTAGGGCCAATGTAGGGATAATTTGGGGTTTGGAGAGTAGGGAATCTAAAGGAATGTTACAGGCCACCTACGCGACCGCAAAGAGACACCGTAGTTGAGTGAGCCTTCAAAAGTCGAACAAAAACGCAAGAACCCCAAATCCTCAACTCGAAGCAATGATGAAATTGACAGATGGGAGGGCGTTTGGGGTTGGGTTTGTTTTGGCCTATTGTCCGCTGCATGACCAGGGGCAGACTCGCAGTAGTCTCCCGCGCACCCCATGCCAGTAGACACAAGGTTCCTGAGTCAGGGCCGTAAGTCTTATTTGATGCTATACCCCAAACCCTAAACCCTGATTCAACCCTAGACCCTATAGACCCTAAACCCTATTCAAGCCCTAACTGTCACACCGGGAACACTGACTTGGATGTTGGGCTTGGGGTCGAGGTGTCGGACGCCTCTAGGGCTGCCGATGCTGCTTGGAGTAGGGAATGAGGGAATTAGGGTTTAGGGCCCAATATATGCCTTTAAGGGATTGTACAGAACCTGCTTCCCACATTCCCCACAAAGAATGGACATGAAGCGTGTTCGGACTATTCACAGTTACCCAGGCCCAGACCCACGTGGCCTTGAAGGGAAGAGATATACCCCCAGTTCCCATCCCTGCCTGAAAACCTACGCATGAATCACCCCAACCAGACCCTAAACCTGAATTGGGTTGGTCATTCACTATGGCTGCTTGGAGGCTGGAGGTCAAGTTCCAAGTCTGTTCTGTGAGGCATTAGAGTTCTGCTGCTCTTGCGAGGAATCGAAAGACATCCTAAGACTTCCTCAATGGGCTTGACTCGTCAGCCTCATCCCCACCGGATGGCCTTTAGAACCCCCTGAAAAAATCTTCCTACATATGATCCTCTCAAACCTAAATTGAGAAGATAGTAAACTATCCCAAGTGCCTACCCAGAATGTGGCTGCGGGCTTGAGGGGCTAGGCTGAAGGGCAGCTCAGGTACGTCTTCGCCATGGTCTTGTCGCTCGTGGCCCACTCCTCGAGCAACCCCTCCCCCCCCCCCGCCCCAGCTTTTTTGTAGCCCAAACGTTCGCTGATATGCCCTCAAGCTCGGCCTGCTGAAGCTCGAAAACAGAAGGAAAACCCTGTAACGCCGAATTCCTCTGATCACCACCCAGGTTGAGAAGAAGTGTCCGTCGTGACAAAGTAGATGCACCGGCCAATGTCGCCGCGGCAGACTGGCTGAGGGTCATCCTCGCCTCGGGGCAGATGCATGTTCGGGGGGTCTAGCCGAAACCTTAAAACTTGGGATGTTCCTCCTGAAACCAACAGTCCTTCATAGGGATTAATCCCCCCTATGATAATCCTACTAAGGACCGTTATAGTATAAGGGGAAACATCCCAATCTTAAACCCTAACCCCGGTTACCGCATTAATTGCAGGCCCAAGAGCGCCGCAGCAGCTTCCACATTGGGTCCCCGTGGTTTAGGGTTTAGGGGGTTAGGGAGGTGCGACTTTGAGGTTTGCGACAGGACCCCTTACGAAAGGGGGTCCAAAAGCGACCTCGGGTGGACAAAAACATGTCGAGTTTTGGGAATGGTGTATCTCCCAAAGCGAAAATGTCCTAGAATTACTGCTCAAAAGACTCTCAAACCTCTGCAATCCGAAAACCAGCCTGGGATGCTGCCCGCAGTACCCTTTTTTCTTGGCGTCAGGGCTCGAACCCCTTGTACATAAACCCTAAACCCGAAACCCTAAACCCTAAACCCTAAACCCGAAACCCTAAACCCTAAACCCTAAACCCTAAACCCTAACTCAATGAAGCTTGGAAGTTTTGGATGTAGGGTTGAGGGTTCTTTCAGCCTACTCCGAGGTCGGACCTTTGAGCCGCTAAGCAACAATTCTCACAAAGCTCGGATTGCTTGAGGAACACCGAAAAAGTCAAAATCAATCCTGAAGCGCAAATTCCAATTCTAGTGGTTCCTCTCTTTGAAGGGGTGGAGGGGTCCTTCAGCAATTCCTACAAAAGATCGTCTTGAACCCAAGAAGAGAGAAAATGAGACATCAAGGTCCTACCTTGCTGCCCTTTACCAGCGCGCTGGTTACACCCCCCACAACAAACAAAAGCCTAAACTACTCAGAAACCTCAACCCTAAACACTACACTCCAACACCCCAAGTCTAAACTACTCCAAACCTAAACCCTAAACCCCTAAACCCCTAAACCCTAACCCCTACACTCTAACACACCACGAAGGCCCGTGCAGCAAGGCCACTGCCAGCAGCGCAAGTGCCGCACGATCCTCCGCAACCGTCGTCGCCGCACCTCCAGCTTCGGGAAGTTTAGGGTTTAGGGTTTAGGGTTTAGGGTTCAGGGTTCGGGGTTTAGGGTTGAGGGTTTCGAGCTTCAGGCCGACTTAGGGAGTAGGGTTTAGGGTTTAGAAGGGTTTTGGGGGTTTAGGGTTTGGGGAGTAGGGTTTACAGGGTTTGTAAGGTTTATAGGGTCCAGAGGGTTACAGGGATTTACAGGGGTTTTGCATAGGCGCCAAGCAGCTCTAATGATAAGATTCCGCAGGCCGGCTGACACTCGCCCGGGGTGTAGGTCGCGCACTGGAGCTTCCTTCGGGATTATGTGGCAAGGGACCCCCAGAAGGGACCCTTAGTCTTATTCCCTCATATAACCCCTATATATAATACAATAACATAACATATATATATATACCTTATACAGTCTCATATACCTAAGTAGCGCTTAAATAAATACACCCTCAAATAACCCCGAAGTTCCCGTATAAGGGTCCCTCCTTTCGTCCCTTCATAAGGAGCTTAGAGGGGCTTGGCTCGAGCTCGAACCTGCAAAGAACTAAGCCTTTTGGGTATTTGTTGTTGGCTTCCAAGGCAAGTTCACTTGGATAAAGCAGCTGACATGAGGGGTCATTCGACTTGGTCCTTTGAAGGAGTCAACATTGAGGTATGTGTTCAGACTCCACAGCTTTGCCTCTTGCCCCCTGACGTTCCCCTGTGTCCAGATCTTGCATCACTTGAACAAACCATCGTACTTCATGACGTGTCTGACATTCTTTCCGAGTTTCAGTCCGCGTGGACGCCGCGATGGAACAAGTCTAGCCCAGATGTACAGCCGGACTGGAACAGGCTTGTAAGTTTTGCTCGGGCTTTTTTGCCAAGCGCCCCTTTTCACGCTCAGCCCATCAGCCTCAAAGACTGGCGATCCACTATCGCACGTCTCAAACCCCGCGCTGCTCGGGGCCCAGACGGCATTGCCAAGGCGGATCTGGTAGCTATGCCAGACGAAGCTGTTTTGTGCCTACTTTCCGTGCTCAATGCCATCGAAGAAGGGAACCTCAACTGGCCGAATCAGTGGCTTCAAGGCTTCGTCATCAGCCTGGCCAAGCCAAACGAGAGGCGAGACGCTGATGGGTACCGACCCATTTGCCTCTTTGCCATCGTCTACAGGGCGTGGTCTTCTCTGCGAGCCAGGCAATTGCTTCAACATTTCAAGACAGTGATGCCGGAATCTGCGCTCGGATTCATCCCTGGCAGAGAGGCTTCCGAAATGTGGTATAGACTGGAGATCATGATTGAACTGGCTTGCCAGGGTGACCAACCATTGTGCGGCTACGGTACGGACATAGTCAAATGTTTCAATGGGCTTCCTAGAACTCCCCTGCTTGAAGTTGCAGCTTTGCTTGGGGTCCCGGACCGTATTTTGGTTCCTTGGCGGGCTTTTCTTTCAGGTGTTCGCCGTAGGTTCCTCATCCGAGGTCACGTAGGGCAAGCACTGGCCTCAACAAGCGGCTTTGCAGAAGGCTGCCCGTTGTCACCGTTTGCAATGTGCGTTGCCAACCTAGTATACCATTTGTATCTCCATCACTATGAGCCGCGTGCCTCTGCGGTCAGTTATGCCGACAACTGGTCACACACAGCATCCAACATAGGACAACTGGCTAGCGGCATCGTGATGACTCAGTGCGTGGCGGACATGCTGGATGTCCAGCTAGATCCGGCCAAGACTTTTGTGTGGGGTTCACATGCATGTGTCAGAAACTCGCTCAAGGCGTTGGGCATCCCAGTTTTGAGACAGTCTCGAGAACTTGGGGGCATTTTATCCTTTGGGAGTGCTACCAGGAATGCGGCGCTAGTAGATCGTTGCAAGGCACTAGCTCCGTTATTCAAGAAGTTGGCCCTTTCACGCAGTCCACTTGCTTTCAAGTTGCAAATCTTGCCTTCTAAGTTGTGGGCACGTGCCCTCCATGGTGTCTCGGGGTGCCCACTAGCACTTGCTCACATTACCAACCTCCGCACACAAGCTGCGCGCGCGCTGCACGTCACGTCAGCTGGGGCCAGTCCATGTCTTCGTCTTAGTCTTTCCGCCCCAATGGAGGCTGATCCAGGATTCTACCAGTTGTGGGCTTGTGTCAGGGATGCACGACGCATTCTGCGGCGACAGCCTGATTTGGTCGGGAGTTGGAAACAGTTCATGCGCAGCTTTGATGGGGTGTTGTACCATGGACCATTCTCTAAGTTGTTGCAGGTCCTTTCGCAGATAGAATGGCATGTTGCAGTTCCGCCGCTGGTTGTAGACCATGAGGGTTTGACACACAATCTTCTGTTCATGCCGAAATCGCTGTTGCGCCAACGCTTGGAGAGGGCTTGGTTAAGGCACATAGGACATGCGCACACTCACAGGGCAACCATGTGCGACCTGCACGGGGTCGATCAGGCCCTTGCTCAACTGGATGTGCAGCGCATGCACGCATTGGACCTATCCCGTCTGCGTGCTCTCCAGTCGGGATCCTTGTTGTTTGGAGCAGAGCATGCCAGGCATGATACTACGCTGACAGGGTTATGCTTACATTGCGGTTGCTCTGATACCCGTTTCCATCGGGTGTGTGAGTGCCCAGCATATGCAGCAGCTCGTGAGGGGCAAGAGTGGGCCATCAGCTTTTGGCATACTTTGCCGACTTGTCTGACCCATCATTTGCTACCGCCAAGTAATGCAGACACAAGTGCCCTGCACGCATTGTTGCATGCCATTGCGGATCAAACACCGGACACACACGCCATGCCTTTACATGTAGGCAGACAACATATATTTACGGACGGTTCGTGCTTCCAGAGCGGTCACCCTGACTTCGCCTTAGCAGCATGGGGCGCTGTGCTGGCTGACACGGACACAGTCATTGGATGTGGTCAAGTTCCGGGCATTCAGCAGACTGCCCCTCGGGGGGAGTTATATGCTGTGATCTGCGCCCTGAGCTGGGCACTGCGACATGGCGTTGCAATCTGCATTTGGTGTGATGCTCTACATGTGGTGCAGGGCATTGACAAGTTACTGCATGGCAGCCCTCTTCCGGACGATCCAGAGAACGATGATTTGTGGCGACGAGTGTCGGACATGGTCAATAGCTTCGAACACGATGCTATTTATGTCCAACATGTCCCTTCACATTTGGATCTTAGTCGGACCACGTCTGCCTTCGAAGACTGGGTAGCTATTTGGAATGCGCGAGCTGACCGGGTAGCTGTTCAGGCTAATCAGAATCGGTCAGTCCATTTCCTGGAAGTATACCACGCTGCGCTGCGCCGGCATGAGTTCTTCGCAAAAGCCATTCGGGCTTTCCGGCATATCTATTTTGCCATAGCAGAAATAACGGGCGGACGGCCACTTTGCCAACGAGTAGTGGATGATGGTGACGAGACAATTGAATTGGCCGGGCAGGCCCCACAGTACTTTCTGAGATGTGCATCTATTCAAGATCGCCTACCCGTCAACTGGCATACTCAAGCAGCGGCAGCTACTGGATTCGTTCCAGCGACATTCGTGACGGCATTGATGAATGAGCTCATTCGTTTGGACGAAGCTGAGGTCATGGCTTGTAAAGTTTCCTGGCTTGAGCTTCTGTTTTTGATGGTAGGGAATCCCAGGGTTGAGTTTCCTGTACAGTGTCCTAGCACGGGCGCCTGGGTTCCTGCTTCAACAGTTCTTTTCAGTGCACCTTTGAAGGCCGCTTGTCAGCTCCGGCTACTTCGGAAGGTTTTAGGACATGTAGTGCGAGTTTTGAGCCTGCAGGACTTGTGTTGCCAGGGTATTTCGTTGGCGGATCTTCGGGTCTCTGCGCCTCAAGATGGTTTGTTGGTGGGGATCAGTGCCATTGATTTGATGGAGGCACGCTCAAGGCTCGCAGTGTTTACCAAGACACGGCCGATCCGGTCGGTGTCAGATTTGGCGAGGCCAATACGGCCAGGCCCCTGACCAAACCTCAGACCTTGTGCGCGCGGCACTGCTCTGGCTGTGTCCGTGCACCTTCAACGAGTGAGATATATTTGTTGTTGGCTTCGGTTTTGACAACTACAGTGGGGAGCAAATCATAAGACTGAGGCCCTAAACCCTGAACCCCAAAGCCCGCTATTTTCCGAGGCTCTTGGTAGCACACTGAGCACCACCGCACTGAACGCCCACGATGACGTTGTCACCAGGGCACATGCCATCCTATCGATGGTGCCGGGAGGGCTTCTCATCCTTTTTTTACTGCGGTTCAGTGTTTAGGGTTTAGGGTTTAGGGTTGGGGTTTAGGATTTAGGGTTTAGGGCTTAGGGTTTAGGGTTTAGGGGTTTGGGGTTTGGGGTTTGGGGTTTAGGGTTTTAGGGTTTGGGTTTAGGGTTAGGGGTTAGGGTTCAGGGCCAGGAACATCCTGATTCCATGCCGACTTATATGCATGGCTTCTCGGCTACAGGATGTAGGATGTACAAAACCTTCGATCGACCGGAGAAAGTAGAAGAGCAATCTCTCCTAGATGTGTATATTATGTATATATATGTATAGAGAGAAAAGATTAAGGGTTTAGGGGTTAGGGTTTGGGGTTATGTTTTTAAAGATATGCACATGTCTTGCAGGGCGTATGTAACGTGCGCATGCTATGACATGCTAGTAGTACAGAGCAGCGTACCCTCATGATCAAGTCGCGTCCCGCTCAGGCATGGCACCGTCTGTATGGCAGCTGCACGCGAAAACCTAAACCCTAAACCCTAAACCCTAAACCCTAAACAGATAAGGTTTAGGGTTTATAGGGCTTCGGCTCCCAAGGAGGCTTCAGAGTTCAGGACTCAGGGTTCCGGGTTTGGAGTCTTACGCTTTGGTTTCTATGGTGCTGCGAACTCAGGAGGTCTAGAAAGAGCTTCAGTGACCCTAAACCCTAAACCGAAAACCCTAAACCCTCTTGGCACCTAACCCTACAACTGCAGAGCCCGCTTGTCGTGTTTAGGGCTGTTGCGGATTCATTGTAGGGGTTGAGGCCCTAAAGGCCTTAGGGCTTTCTGCTTTACAAGGCTTTTTGGCCAGGCCCTAAACCCCAAAGCCCTAAACCCCCTAAATCCCTAAACCCTCAATACCTAAATCCCTAAACCCTAAACCCAAGAGGGTGCAAAAACAACAATAAAAACTCGCCACCTCGGCCTCGTTGAGCGTTGAGGGAAACCTGCGGAGCACATGGATAGGGTCTAGGGTTTCGGATATCGGGTTTAGGGTTTAAGGTTTAAGTTTTTAGGGTTTTGGGTCTATAGGTTTTAAACTGTATAGGGTTTGCAGGGTTTAAGTTGTGGAGGTTTAACTCAACCCTAAACCCGAAACCCCAAACCCTAAACCCTAAACCCTCAACCCTCAACCCGAAACCCCAAATCCCCAAGGCCAAGGAGCCAGGCCGTCTCAAAATACTCCTTGCTGACTTCACCGCTCTTGGGCAGCGCGCAGTGTAGGCGAATGGTGCCGCCTAAGCAGATTTCCTTTTTCTAGCTGGGGGGTAAGCCCCTAAACCCTAAGCCCTGAGCCCTAAACCCTAAACTCTAAACCCTAAACTCTAAACCCTGAACCCTGAACCCTAAACCCTAAACCCTGAGGGTTTAGGGTTTCGGGCTTGGGGATTGGAGCATTTTGCAAGGAACGGTTGGCATAGTGCCTCAGGGGCGGAAGGGTTGTAGTCAAGAAGTGTAGCAGTTGTACTTGCGACTTTTTTCGGGAATTGGATATTTGAGGCATAAATCACCCCCTGGACAACCTTTTTAGGGATTTATCTTGTATTGTGCAGCTGTTGGAGAAAAAGAAAAGCGGAGTACAGACGTTCAGGGTTTAGAGTTCGGGTCTCGCGCCTCGGGATTTAGGTTCATACCCCCTACCCTACCCTCTCTGCTAGCCCCACCCTACCCCTCCGCTACAACTTTTGAGGCTTTCGGGCTTAGGGATTGTACGGGGGAGAGGCGCATGTCAGGAGCGCCTGTCAACCACCCCTACCCTAAGGGTCCATGTACCTGAATATTATACTTGGGGCCCCAGTGCCCCTCTGTAGCAAGTACTTTAAGGCCCATCTCCCGATTTAGGTACATGGAGCCTAGGGCTAAACCCTAAACCCAGAAAACCCTTGAATCCCTGAACCCCCTAAACCCCTAAGCCCTCAACCCCTGAACCTCTCAACCCCTGAACCCCTAACCCTTGAACAGGTGACCTCCGGCAACCCCTAGACCCAATCGGTTTGTGAAGCCTTGCTGAGGACTGCGGGACGCCTATAGCCTCCCCATGGCTGGCATGCATGACCCTAGACCTAGGCCCTGAACTCCTAAATACGTTCAGCATGTAAAGGGTCTCCAGTTTCGAGCTTAGGGCTTTAGGGTTTAAGAAACTCTGGTCGGCCAAAGCACAGCTGTCGCCAACACAGGTTACTTTCAAGGCAATTTGCCCGGCTTGACAAACCTGCCCAAGAGCTTAACTTAGGGTTCAGGGCTATGAGGTCTAGGGTTTAGGGTGGGGTGCAGGGTGCTTCCTTCTCTGCTTAGTCATAGTAGCTTCAGGCGCTACCCGTGCACTTAGTCTCTCAGGTACCGGAGCACCTCGACTGCTTGGACGGTAGAAACTCTGGATTCGAACCCTCAACCCTCAATCCTAAACCCTAAATCCTAAACCCGAAACCAGCCTTCGGTTTCGATTGGTTAGGGTCTACAGGGTTGAGTGACGTGGGCTTCAGATTTGACTCGTTCAGCAGGGCTTGTGAGTTTCGAAATGTTGTGTATGGCCATAGGCAAACAAAATGGATGCCTACTTGGGCTGCTGAGGGCCCTTCGAATGTCTTGCTGCGGGTAGGGTACAAGTTAGTTGGGAGTTGTTCGGCCCCCCTAAACCCTAAAGCCCAAGCATCCTTCTTGAAGAGGGGGCTTTCATCCAATGGCCGCAGCACCGTGTGATTGGATATTTTGTCTTCTCTTCTGGCTGAGAAGTTGGAGGTTTGTGGTGTTTAGTGTTTAGAGTGCAAGGATCAGACGGGCTAAGGGTTTATACGGGTTCCCCACACACTTCCACCAATGAAACGGCCATCGTCGACTATGCCCTAAGCCCTAACATGCAACTCGTTCTAAACCCTGAAATGCCCAAAACTTAAAACTCCAAGCCCTAAACCACACCTTGAATCCCTACACTCAAAGCCGCAACATGGTATTTAGGGTCAGAGGGGCCGAAATGCCCCACTAGTATCCCCTCATCTCCTGTCTAGCTATCTGGGGGGGGGGGGGGTCCTCTATCATGATACGGAGTCGGGTACCCAAAAAAAAGGCACGAATTTTCTTCATGCACCATGTAAAGCCCCGAACAAAATTCCTAAACCCTAGACTTTAAACCATAAACCCTAAACTCTTAGTTCCTAAACCCGAAGCCCTAAACCCTAGATCCTAAACCCTGAAAGCTACGCCAGGGCTTTGTTGGCCAAAGGACGAGGTCACCCACATCAGACTTCTGCTCGTGCATGGTCACCGCGGAAGTCCGGAGCTCCACGTCCTGGGGTTTAGGGTTTAGGGCTAGGGTTTAGGGTTTAGGGTTTAGGGTTTAGGGTTTAGGGTTTAGGGTTTAGGGTTGAGGGTTGAGGGTTGAGGGTTAAGGGTTGAGGGTTGAGGGTTGAGGGTTGAGGGTTGAGGGTTTAGGGTTTAGGGTTTAGGGTTTAGGGCTAGCGTTGAGGGCTGTGGGGGGTTTCGGGGCTTGGGGTGTTGGGGTTTGGGGGTTTAGGGTTTGGTGTTTTAGGGTTTAAGGGTTTAAGGGTTTAGGCTTCTAGAGGGGTTTTAGGCCGTTTTTGGATTCCCCTGGGCCGAGGGAGCTAAGGCACCATTCAAGATGCACATCCGCAAGCCTAAACTCGAAACCCTAAACCCTAAACCCTATACCCTATACCCTAAACCGTATACCCTAAACCCTAAACCCTAAACCCCAAACCCTAAACCCTAAACCCTAGACCCTAAACCCTAAACCCTAAACCCTAAGCCCTGCATCATGTGGGACTACATGGGCCTGGCGCCTACAGGGTGGGGCCCCCTAGTTATAAACAAGTAAAGATACTTATATGCAACTTAGAGCACTTATAACCTATATACACTAAGTTTGCTAAGTTAGTTAGCCAACTTATAAGTTGATTTATAAGTTACAAAATGTTGATTTTTCTAGTAAAAAGTCATCATGCAAAGCCCATGTCTTAAAGGAAGAGGTTTTTGGGCGCTCTTCAAAAAGAGGCGTCTCCTGGCCCTGCAACGCCATCTCAAACCAAGTTGGTATTGCGGAGAAACGAAAGCTGTCTGGCTGAGACAGGAAACAAATCGGATGCAGGCAAAGACACAAAACGTTCCGCGCATGCGCTTGGGATGTGGGGATGTGTCCGCGTGTGCCCCGCGTGTGTCGAAAACCCGATGTGTCCGCGATGTGTCCGGTGTGTCCGCCCCATTTATTGGAGTGTGTCCGGTGTTTCCTGTGTGTCCGCCCTCTTCGGCACCATGTGTCTGCGATGTGTCCCCCGTGTCTCCGGATGTGTCCCCGACGTGTCGGTGCATGTCCGAATGTGACCCGAATGCGTGCCAAGCCAAACGCTTCGCAAAACACGGCCCGGCCAGGAAACTCCTCGACAAAAGAAAACCTGAGAAACATTCGTGCCGAGCCTATAACCTTGCAAAATCCTATATTTCACAGTCGCGAGCATGGATCTGATGAAAACACGGTTTTTTTGGAGCGAAGTTGTATAATTTACTTATAAGTTGGGCAGTAAAAACTTATAACTAGCTAATATCTTCAACAAATATTTTATAACTAAACCATGAACTTAACAACTTATAAATTATGGTAGGAAAATTATAAATGGATTTACAGAGGTTAAAAAATCAATTTATAACTGAGGGGCCCCACCCTGTAGAGAGCGGTTGCGGGAGGCCCGGACACCCAAACCTCAAGCCTCGGCTGTGGTTTAGGATTCAGGGTCTAGGGGTTTAGGGGGTTTAGGGGGTTAGGGGGTTTAGGGGTTTAGGGGGTTTAGGGGTTAGGCGAGCAGTGGCAGTGCTAGCAACCTGTTCGGATTGTTGCCCCGAGCTGCTTTGCTCCGCTGAGCTCCTGCATCGGCATGTTCACGCGGCCCTGCTGTTGCAGCACTTGTGCAGGGCCTCACTGGCTTGCAGTTCCTCTGCCGCCGAAAGCTCTTGTCGAGCTTAGGGTTGTTAGGGTTTAGGGTTTAGGGTTTAGGGTTTAGGGTTTAGGGTTTAGGGGGCAGGGTTGGCGTGTGTCCTCGCGGTGGCTCATCCGCAAGCTGCTGCAGAACTGCGCGGAGCAGCCCAAGCCCACCTTGCGCGAGGGTTTGGAGAAGGGTTTGGGGGGGGGGGGGGGGGGGGGTTCAGTTTACAAGGTTCATGTGGTAAGGGTTGAGGGTTGAGATTACATGTGGGGGTTTCGGGTTTAGGGTGTAGGGTCCAGGGTTGAGGTTTCAGGCTTCTTAGGTCTTAGGGTGTTAAGGGGGTTGGTCCGTGGATTTGGTTCTTCAAGCTGAGGCACGAAGCCTAGAAGTCCTGGATATGAAGGACATGGAATCCACAACCTGCGACTACTCTCAACCCGAGGGTTTGGTGTTTCGGGTTTGGGGTTTAGGGTTTGGGGCTTGGGGTTTGAGGTTTAGGGCTTGAATCAAAGGAAGCTTCGCAGCTCCTTTTGAACCCATCTTGCCACGTCCAAGGGGCCATGGCATGTGTGGCCGGCACGTCTTCAGATGACGCCTCGAAGCTTGCAAGTGGCGAAGTCAAAACTAAAAACAATAAACCAAGGGTTGCAGGGTGATTAATGCGAGGTTATGCGAGGTTTCGGGACCTGGCCGCTAAGCCCTAAGTCTTGCATTATGGTTGAGGGTATTAGGGATGAGGGTTTCGGGTTTAGGGTTGAGGGTCACCCTCAACCCTAAGCAGTTTTCAAACCTCAGCTTGCAGGGCAGCCCGGACTCCCCAACCAAGTGGGGGTGCCGGGTTGAGGGTTTTACTGGTCTAGGGGTGTAGGGTTTGGGGGTTGCGGGCTGGTTGTTCAGATGTTGACAATCGGAACCTGAAGCTTGAAACCCAAACTTGGGATGTTCCCCCGTATGCTGACAGTCCTTCATAGGGACTCTACTGGGGGGTAGTCTAATGGCGGAACATTCCAACCCTAAACCCTAAGCCCCAAAACCCTAAACCCCCCGAAGAAACCCAAAACCCGAAAACAAACCCAAGCCCTTAAACCCCTAAAAAACCTTAAAACCTAAAAACCCTAAAAACCCTAAACAATCCTAAAAACCCAAAAACAAACCCAAGCCCTTAAACCCCTGGACATTGTTAGAGGCCCCTGCGACCCTGGCCTGAGTGCTGAAGTACTCCGACCACGCCCCGCCACGGAAAGAGAAGACGGTGGTGGTCCTCAGGATGTTGAATAGGTTTAGGGTTTTGTGTTTTCGGGGTCTAGGGTTTAGGGTTTAGGGTTTAGGGTTCAGGGTTTAGGGTTTGGGGGTTTTAAGGCCTGGGGTTCTGAGGGTCGTAGGGTTGAAGTGTTTAAGGGGCTTAAGGGCTCATTTTGGGGGTTAAGGGTTGAATTCGAGGGCGAAGGGCTTAAGGATAGGTTTAAGTGTGAGGGTGTACTGTAGTTGTT